TTGAATTCCAACTGCCGGCTACAGTCCAAATTCCGATATTAGATGTTGCCCCATTCACACACAGGGCAAACAGTCAATTAGATAGAGAAAAAGCGGAATGGTTGAATGCGATTCATTGTAATCAAACCGAAGAAATGACAGACACGTTTAGATTCCAACTTGAAATGTTTCACCAGCGTCGCGGTATGACCACATCGGAACGTCGTCACGCAACCGAATTCGACCCTAATAATGGTCTGATGATGTAGCAGGAAAATCTCTTGCTTTATTTATTTATCGTTATTTTTTGGGGGAGGGAAATTAGAAAATTTAAGATAAGTTTGTCGTAAGATTACTCTATAGATATTGCTCACGCCAAAAAGATAGTTTCTTTATATTATTTACTACCTTTTCTATGCCCTTATGATTCTCAGTTCTTTGAAATAATTTAATTAAAGCTCGACGTTTCTATTTGTCCCTAATATATATGCTTGGCAGCAACCAACGATATTGTATGTGTGAGCGAAAGCAAAGACGAAAGATATCGAGCATTAGCTAGCTGAAATTGGGTTACGCGGAAAGAATGTTAAGCATACGGCCAACTGTAATGCATTAAACTATTAATGTCAACAGTAACGTCGTATTTGCATCGGACTACATCTACCCCCCCGTTCTTTACATGTTCAGATCACAAAACCCTTTCTACCAACCATAGATTCGGAGATCCGTCGCATATTTCGATCGACCTATCAATTAATTGTTGTGGTGCTGATTGCAAAGATTACGAACGGTATCACGTATCTTTCGCAACAATCTACGATTGACAAACTTTCTGCTCCCAACACTCCACCCCGTGATTGCCAAACATTCTTTCCCATTCTATATATTATCAGAGCGGATAACAATTTTTCAAGAATATTATTCTGCTCTCGACCAGTTTGCTGTATAGACATCAATGAGAGCCTACTACCAGTAAACCGTTCACAGGCAACAAATTGCGCAAATGCTATCCTAGCTAGTTCCTAATAATAGAGTAAATAGACTAGTTGTGAGACTACGAGTGTAATAAAGCCCTCCCCTTAACAAAGGGAGCAATTTGACGTCAGTGCTGACACTTACTATGACACTTTCTTATAGAGCTATTTTAAGTTGATGTATCACATGTACACATATTGACTAGGTAAGCCACTCGTACATCATGTGATATTTGACTTAGTCACGACACGTGATATTTTCCATTTTCTTTGACGGCAAATTATGCATCTTAGCTTTCTATCATTGAAAAGAATTTACTGACCAGACTATCAAGTCAAAATGGGCATATTAATAGCAAGCTCGAGGCAAAAAGATGACGAGTATTTAATCAATTACGAGTCGATTAACATGTTTCAATTGTTATTATTCTATTCTACGTATCTTCGGGATGCGTGTAACTATGCACGTAAACGCCGACTTCATTAATAATAATATTATTATAGTATGGGTATATTCTATTGAGATAAAAATAGCTATGTTCTTGCTACAAAGGACTAATAATCTCGTCAAGTCGAAGTTATCTAATATACATCCGACTCTTAGTACACACTCAAATACTTCACGGATGAAAAATGCGCATGCGGTTATCTTATCTCTATGATAAATAAACCATTATTGCTTCTTGCATTTCATATCAAGTATAATAAACCCATTATCTTCTAACACAAATATGATCCGTGGTTTGAATTTGGTAAGTCTATAAACCCAACATTCCAGTATTGAAACTAGTCTTAATGAATTCTATTTGGAAGTTTACAGATCAGAGAAGAAATCTCAGATCTAGAGTCTGTTTTGATTGCTATACCATTAATAGATTGGATTCATACATTTATAACAATTCCAAGAGAACGTGTTTGCAATAATTGGATGTGGTGATAGCACTACAAGCTAGCAGACGCATCTGTGCAAAGCTTGTGGCAGACTGCGGCTCTTTGCAAAAGTATACAGTACTACATTATAGATGCAATACTGCAGTACTGGGATTAAAGCCATTGATTCTTAGTTACTGATACTGCAAAAACTCATCCCTATCGAGTTAGTGGTCTAAAGAGAGTTAGACAATAACTTGCGAAACTCCGAGGCGCCAAACTCATAAAGTGGTAGGAACAAAATACCTTTTCCCCTCACTTTCCAATTCGATGTTGCAAAGACTTCTTTCCCCCCATCCCTTATCCAGCTGGTACACTGGTATAGGGTATGCTGTATCCTTATTTTGTGACTTTTGTGACGTAATGTGCGTACTTGACGCTCCGTATATCATGATTATGAGATTGGCTTCTTGTTACGGGAATTTTTAAAAGGGCAGAAAAGAATTTGGAATGTGCGGCTGAAAAGAGGCTTGGGAGTAATTGCTATTGTTAAGGGTGGCTGCTTCAATAGCAAGTTTTGAACCGATACTAATACGGAGCAACCATAGTTCTAAAGAAAGAATTTCTATCAACTGGCTGATAGTTTGTAAATGCAGTGCAGGCAGTAACAGTATTTTACAAAACACAACTCAATATAATACTGTCTTTTTACTGACATTAATACTGGTACTTGACTATTTCAAACTCCGAAGAGAAAGAACGCAGTCAATGCGGGGTAGTACAGGAGATAATACCACTTATTATATGCCGCATTTTGAAGCATGCGGTATCGTGATACAAGTGATTTGACTAATTCTGGCTCATTGCAGATCGGTCGAGTATAAGTGGGGACGGGGGAAGAAGTGCCGTTGAATGGAAAGAAAATTTTAACATAATCAGTGACAGAGCGAATATTAATTGACAAGAAGCAAAACAGATCGAAATAGTTGGCTTGGGTAGACTGCGATATACAGGTACAGCAACCCCGACATACTTTTGAGTTTACCCGAGTCACGGTAAAGCAGACAAAGTGCTACACTCTACGTAATATAATTACACTCAAACAACTCGTACAATAACACGAACTTTACTCAATGGATACCGTATTCAGCGTACACCACGACTCAAAGGTAATACGTGAGAGGAACAGATTACTCAAACTACAGCATGGTAGTGTGGACGACCTGGCATCAGTAGGTTCAAAGAGAGATGCACAAGTGTCATTAGCAGGAGTTTTAATGGGATCTGAACCATTAAAACGTTCATTTTCTCAACCACCAACTCAACGGCCGGCGGCAACAACAACAACAACGACGACGACGACAACGACGACGACGGCGGCGGCGACACCAACGGCAGCGACACTGACACCGACAACAACGAAAACAGCTATTACAGAAACAGCACAAACATCGTCGGTAACAAAACCATCATCGTCACCACCGTATTCCTCATCATTTGCGCATTCACAACCTCAATTACCATCTTTCAATCAATCTCATCAGTCGCTCAATTCGTTTGACCGTCCTCCGTCGCAAGACAAACGACCGGCACTTCACTCACTTTTATCATCACGATTCGGTTTATCGCCTGCGGGCACCCCTCAACCATCTCCGCCGACGTCTCGTGCATCCACGCCGTCGAACGAGGTTACGGAAAGCAGTCTCTATGCTAACGCATTTACACATACTCAAACCAATTCTGTAAATACCAATGCATCCACAACGCACCCTTCTAACCAATCGTCCATCCAGCCTCTAGTTCCTGCTCCGTCGTCGTTATCTTCGTCACCGCGGTTATTGCCTATTATGACGCCAAGAGCATTTCAGAACATGAGAAAGGTCGTGCCTGTGTTGGAAGGCGATGATATTTGGAACCTAATGAATAATAGGCCCTCGACGCCGTGGTTAAGTATTGGGAAAGTGGAAGATGGGAATGGGTTTAATGGAAACGGCGGTGGGTTGCATGGAGAAAAGAAAGAGTGATGTGCGTAAAGGAGAGTTATGCGAATAGTTAAGTGTCATGCGAGGAAGGTTGTCCAAAACAAAAAAAAAAGTATGCAGTATGATTTGTCTTTTTCCCCCCCCAGCTTTGATGATGTAATAGCATATAGTTTTGGAGAAAGCTTTTTGATGATTATGAAATGTAAAAGTTACCGGACAAAGGTGAGGAGGCTCTTGTTGATTGTTGGCTCGCTTTAGTCATTGATCAGTTTAACATGTCAGCTTTACATCGACAGGCAATAAAAAATTACGATACAAACTACAATGTATTCCTTTATTCTAGGTGGCAGAATCACATGATATTATGTGTTATCTGATTTATATATAATACTAACGCCACTTGCCCCATCCAAATTGCTCTTACTGTTCAAATCTGTAATTTTGTATTCCAATTGCCAGGAGTAAGGCGGTATTAAAAAATCCAGTTATTGTCAAGAAAATGCAGTGCAACGATTGCGAAGAGGCAAATAATTAAACACTCTTTGTTGTGACACTTCTGACAGGGCGCACGCTGAACAAAAGCAATGACCAAATTGTGAGGGGGAAAGTTGTGGGGTTGTTGAACTTGAATGCTGTTTGTTGAATAAATCCCAGATTGGGAAATGAATTCTTATATCGTTAATATTAATTAATAATTCTCTACAGATTATCATCTCATCTATCACACAGCTCCCTTTTCCCCCAAGCGATTGATCCAGTTTGGAGAATGATAAATGACAGCTTTTAGACTGCGATGTGTGTATAATTCTATTTATGGAATAGTACATGTGTTCCCATTTGATAAGCTTATTAAGATTTGGCGAGGGGCTATGCGTTAAGGCCACTTTGTTTACAGATTACATTGATAAGAGAGACAGGAATAAATTAGAGTTACTAAACGGTTTAACAAGTTAACATCTTGAGCAAACTGATTGGTATCAACAGATGGCGTCGCTCGATATGTTCACATCGTACTAGTATCGTTGTTTATACAAATAAATGTTACAGTGATATCGCACTCGCCTGCCGTTCTTTCCGTTTCCATTCCAGTTGATTTATACCCCTTTTTCTATACAGTGATACAAGTCCTACCATTGCACATGAAACGACATCCAAAACAGTCACGCCATCCAGTCACCCCATCCAGTCACCATACAAACAACTATGACACGATTGTTCTCAGGGAGAAGGGCGTTTGTTGTCGTGTAATATTAGATCACGTATTAGTAAACCATAATAAAGATCAATTGCTCGTATCACATCCACGCCGACTATAAATTCCTCTCCGCCCTCGTAGATGATTTCCTCAGGTTATCTTTCTCACTTTCCATAACTTAAGTGAGCATCAACCACCCCCAAAAATATTCATAACGTATTATATTATAATTGCGTTTTTCTCTTCTTCTTCTACCACACCTTTACACACACAACAAAACCTCACAAAATATAACCCCAATAACAACAAATTTAAAAACCAAATATGCGTGAGTGTATTTCAATCCACGTTGGTCAGGCAGGTGTTCAGATTGGAAACGCTTGCTGGGAACTCTATTGTCTCGAGCACGGTATTCAGGTAAGCAAGAGGAGGTCGGAGAAGAGTTGTTACGAGTATAGAGAATAGATACGCGTGCGACAAATGTTGGCGATACCGTTTGCAGTATCATAACGTACCTTCCTGTTAAAAATCACGTGTAATATCGTGCAAGCGAGTGTTGTACTTTATCTCACCCAGCACTTTATCTCACTTTTACATAGCCCGATGGTCAGATGCCATCTGATAAGAGCGTAGGAGTATGCGATGACTCTTTCAACACTTTTTTCTCTGAAACCGGCAACGGCAAACACGTTCCCCGCACCGTTTTCGTCGATTTAGAACCTACCGTCGTAGATGAAGTCCGTAACGGTACCTACCGTCAGCTCTTCCATCCCGAGCAGCTCATCACTGGCAAAGAAGATGCAGCCAACAACTATGCTCGCGGTCACTATACCATTGGAAAAGAACTCGTCGATTCAGTATTGGATAGAATCAGAAAACTAGCCGACAACTGTACCGGCTTACAAGGGTTTTTGGTTTTCCATTCCTTTGGAGGAGGCACGGGATCCGGATTTGGCGCACTTCTATTGGAAAGATTATCGGTCGACTATGGCAAGAAATCAAAATTGGAGTTTTCTGTTTATCCTGCTCCTCAAGTCTCTACCGCTGTAGTCGAACCCTACAATTCCATTCTCACGACGCATACGACTCTCGAGCATTCAGACTGTGCATTCATGGTCGACAACGAGGCTATCTATGATATTTGCAGACGTAACATTGATATCGAACGTCCAACATATACCAACCTCAATCGACTCATTGCTCAAGTGGTCTCCTCCATCACGGCTTCTCTACGCTTTGACGGTTCACTCAATGTCGACTTGACTGAATTCCAGACCAACCTTGTCCCATATCCTCGTATTCATTTCCCCCTGGTCACCTATGCACCGGTTATTTCCTCCGCGAAAGCTTATCACGAACAACTCACCGTTGCCGAGATTACATACTCTTGTTTCGAACCCAACAACCAGATGGTCAAATGCGATCCACGTCATGGAAAATATATGGCCTGTTGTCTCTTATACCGAGGTGACGTAGTTCCTAAGGATGTTAATGCAGCTATTGCTACGATTAAGACCAAACGCAGTATCCAGTTTGTCGACTGGTGTCCTACTGGATTCAAAGTCGGTATCAACTATCAACCACCTACCGTGGTACCCGGCGGCGATCTGGCTAAAGTACAGCGTGCCGTATGCATGTTGTCCAACACAACTGCCATTGCCGAAGCTTGGGCGCGTTTGGATCATAAGTTTGATTTGATGTATGCTAAGCGTGCGTTTGTCCACTGGTATGTCGGAGAAGGTATGGAAGAAGGTGAATTCTCGGAAGCTCGTGAAGATTTAGCAGCCTTGGAGAAGGATTACGAGGAAGTGGGGACGGATTCGGTGGAGGCAGAAGAAGAGGAAAACGATGAATACTAAGACGGAAAATTGCAGAATAGTTCTAATGGGATATATGTGTATATTATGTTCGCTATGCATATATGCAATTTCCATTTATTAAAGATTAAATGAATTAGTAAACATGAACTTTTATTAAATAAATAACTTCTCCCATTTGTAGCGATGACTTTTGCGATTTTCTAGCATTATGTTCGTCTTTTCTATATAGCAGATTTTGTCGATTAGCAAAAAGAGTTACTCTATTCTTATATTAGAGATACAATTATTTTTGTTTCTCTTTCTTTTTGGGTGTTTCGATTGCGAGTATGAACAAACGAACGGATACACAACAGTAACATCTGTTTTTGTTTACTCCGATCGAACATCCATAACAAACATCCACTTTAAAGTTCCCCCTTATATCTCTTTTAATTACCGTTTGCCCCCTCTCATCTCGAATTTATTATTTAGAATTTACATTCTCCTTTTTATTTTTCTGAATACCCTTCGCCTCACTTATTACAATGATTTATAATATTAGATTATTGTTTCTCCTTCTATTATTAAACTTCTCTTTTTTTCTTTTGGAGGAATTATAGGAGATAAGGCGACGGGATAATTTTAGAGTTTTTAAGAATGAAAGGGAATAATAATAATTCGAGAGGGGGTTTGGTAAGGGAAGGGAAAATTTAACCCATTTTATATCAAACAAAATTCTTTGGATGTTTTTTCTTTTTGCTTCTCGCTAAGCATTTACTATAGCCTTAAGAAGCTTTGTAATCATGCGAGGTCTTTTTTACTAGGCCTTTACATATAATAAATGTATGAGAGATAAGCCTAATTTTAAATGAATCTGATCGGTTAATTGATGATGGGAATCGTATATAGGCCTGCCTTTTTTTGACTTCGATGATGCAATAATACTAATACACACCTATTACGTTAGCCCGAGTTACGTCAGATATGAAAATTTTATCGCTATTTTATTGTCGCAAACTCTCGTGCAACAAACACGCAATCCTGCCAATCAAGCAAAATCATAAAATCAGTTCACTCTATTTGCTGGAAACTTCGCGAACTTTTTGATTTCTCAACTCTCAAACTCAAAGCGCAATGGCAAAGTAAGTACACGTAAAATGCAAAATTTCATAGTATAGGAAGGAACGTTGGAAAATGTTCAAGGCAGCCAGCGTTTGATCTCTCACAGCGTTACGTACAATAAGAGCTATAAAGAGACTAACAATCCAATAGTTCTATAAACTGTATTATCCGTCTTTATCCATTACCGTCGTTCTCGCTGTTGGTATTTTGACCGCTCCTCGTCTAATACTCGTCCCTTTCTTTTAAATAAGCGACCTTCTCCACCCCGAAGTATTATGGGCACAGCGCAGCAACGAAATCTACCTGACCATAAATTTGGTTGACGTCGAAGACGCTAAACTTAATGTCGCAAAGGAAAAGATTAGCTTTGAGGGAATTGGTGGAACCGAACGGAAGAAATATGGATTTGAATTGGATCTATGCAAAGAGATCAACCCTGATGTATGTTAATTAATGAAGAAAGGGCGGAGTGGGGGCTGAAAAATGAAAGGAGAGGAAGGAGGGAGGGGTATACTGAATTAATATAAAGTTAGCACAGAAATGAATAATAATAGATCTGTAAATCATGATTCGATAATTTTAAAGATAACACAGTTAAAAGTTTTCAAGCCAACATGTATTTATCAGCGTCGACTGTCTGTTGCAATGAAAGAAAAAAATTTCTCTAATGATTAATCATTATATATTCTTTTTTTTTTTCTCCACACACACAGACTTCAAAACGGCATCAAACGGCTCGTCAAATTGTTTTAGTTCTTGACAAAGCGGAACACGATCAAGCATATTGGCCTCGTTTGCAAAAGGACAAAGTAAAGCCCAGATTCTTGAAGACCGATTTCCAAAAGTGGAAGGATGAAAATGATGATGAGGACGACGACAATGTGAATCCGGTTGGAGGAATGGACTTTTCTAGTCTGATGGGCGGTGGTATGGGCGGTGGTATGGGTGGGGTAAGTATGCGGGGGAAACGTATGCGGGGGAAACGTATGCTGGGTAGTTTATAATGTCTGCTGGCGCTTGTCTAGTTGCGGACTTTTGGTATACATTGCGAGAGTTTTGTAGTTTCAGTCGTGCTATATTTCCCGTGCTTGCCTTGTAATCAATCATTACTAAAACTCTCTATTGTTTGCATCTGAACCTACGCTCACATTCTTTACCTAGATGAGCGATGATGATAGCGACGAAGAAATGCCTGATCTAGAAGCCGTCCCTAAAACTGACACCGATTCCATGAAAGTAGAAGAGATTAAAGAAGAGGCCAAAGAAGAGGAAAAGGAGGAGGTTAAAGCAAGCACATAAATCAATCGGTTGGAATATATAATTCAGGTATATGGGGAGTAAATGAATAAAAAAAAGTATGCAGAGTGCCTGTGCGTAACGCAGTAGGGACTTTTTTTTTTCTGTTTTTGTTGGGACTTTTATATATGCTCAGATTTCTAGTAGGATTTATTAGCGAGTACTGGACTGTAATTTGGCTTATGTAAAAAAAATTTTCTATATACTTATAACTTGGGTATTTTGCGGAATGGGATGGTTGGTGAATTGGTATGCATGCTGAATATGACTTAAATACGGCTTAGAAGAGGATGCCCTCAGTATTGACCGCTCATGATGAAGTTTTCGTAGATTGGCTCTTTCACGTATTGTATCCAATACTTGGCGTATCATGTTGATTACTAGGACTTGTCCAAAAATTTGCATCAATGTCTCGTCGAGACAGGGAATGCGCACATCGATCCTGACCTTCGTACGCAGAGCCGATACTTTGTACGCTTGTCGTGTCTTTCGTAATTGTAATCCATGCACTAGATCATCTTGTTCGTTTTAATACGATGTTTTATTTAGCCAATCTTTGAGAGCTATCTTTTACTGCGGAAATAGCATTTTTTCCTTCGCGCTTTGAATATCATGTGAGTCAAACGATTGCGCGCAGATCAGAATATCCAAACACAAGAACGAATGTCCCCAAGCGTGTTATATATTCGTAGTTTGAAACAATTATAATTTGGTTTCTAATAAATAAACATCTACAAATTGTGGCTTCTTATGGGTTGATATCAATGTTGGTTTGAAAAGACTGTTGTAGAGACATCATGGTTAAAGTCTAAACACGTTGCTCCAAGTGTGTAATATAGGCCGAAAAGATTGCTTTCTACGTCTTCAATTATATTATTACTATCTAACACGTCATCTTAATCCTCCCCCAATTCACCAAGTAATGTGCCTTGCATCGTTATTTCCCAAACATTCCTGCTAAATCAGGATTTCCCCCCCTCTATATGACAACTGTCGGAATGAATAATATGTGAACCATTGAGTGTCAACGATGAGAACAAGAAATAAGCTTTCAAATAATAGCAAATAACTATAGAGTATCTGGATGACTGGCTAAAGCTTGAGAAGGCGAAATCAGAGTAGAGCATCAAACAACCTGCAAAAATAATAGCTTGTAATGCGTCATACAAACTTATTTACGAATAGATGAGAAAATAACTAACTTTAATAAACACAACTGACTTTTTTTAACGTAGCAAAACCACAATTATTACATACATCGATAATTTTACACGTGGACATCTGATAATTAATCGTAGCTTTATTATTTGACAGAGAAACTGTATACAAATTATAGTGCACATTACAAAATTATTATTTATTAAATCACTCTAATTTGGGCTTCCGGTGAGGATTTTTATTTCATCACTTTTGGCAAAGATATTGTTTACTGGTATACTGTTTTAATGTATGCGGAAGTACATTACTTTATGCGTACAAGATTTGTGAAGGAAACTACGATTAATAAATTTGCAATTATACGTAGCATATTAGCATAAAATATCGGCGCCCACATCGCATTATATTATTAAGCTGATTTCTTGGTTCAGTTCAGGATATAATAATGTATCAGTCTGCGGTAACCACCGCTGGCACAACGACTAGCTTATTATTTTATTGACAACATCATGTGATCAGGTAATCAATGATGAAAAACACTGTTGTTAATAGACGCGTATAACGATTTCTAGTACTAATTCCCTTGCTATTATTACCGAGTAATAGGAGACGTGATAGGAGCCATGATTTTTTAAGATCATCTGCGTCTCCAACTCCTGTTAATAAGCGGATCACAAGTTTAAGCTCAGCTTATGTTGTGACTTGAAACTCTTGTTGACAAGAACGTACAATACCAACTCCAAAAAACCGAGTATAGTCACATGATTGACATCTCTACCCAATCATCATCAACTGCATACGCAATTTTTCCGTTTGGGAGCAATGCACCAAATCGTACGTAACCAAAAACCATGGAGAACACGATTCCCAAAATTCCCGACCTTACGCTATCTCATTACCGCTTCATTCTAAATCACTCCAAAACATCGGAACTTCATGAAGAGGCGAAAACGAAATTATTTCAAGCCATTGACGAGAATAGTAAGTGTCTATTCTCCATTGAGGATACTACATACGATTTTATTGGAATTTTCAAAAGAGACGAGAATTTCTTTCGATTAATACGATCGTAAAAAGTTGCGGCGGTGTTGAGAGTAAGGGAATGCGGCTATTTATAAAGCGACCGATTGATAAATGGATTGATCCGGTTACGGATAAAGAGATAGCATATGTTTTCGAGGGCTCGCAAACAAATTCTCCATCATATGGCAACGAAATCCGTATTCTAGATTCTATCCATTAAATGTTTACGCATTGATATCTTTTTTGACCCAACAACTTTTTACGCCCAATGCAATTTCCATTCTAATTCTTTCCCGTCTCAACTCGCAGAGATGGCTCCATTCTACCAATTACTGACAGACGAACTGAAACTACCACTTGATAAGGTATTGCTTGCGCAGTATCAACAGGCAAATAAGGAAGAATTGCAAAAGCTCGATGAGAAAATCGAAGATGCAGAACAGAATTTGGGAGAAACAGAAATTTGTGACGCAATGTTGGCAAAGGCGAACTTTTTTGCTAACATCGGGGATAAGGTAGAATATCCGGTGAAGGGTGAATGAGCATGCGTGTTTGAGATTACTGTTAACTTGATAATGAAGGTCCTTTTATGTTTGTCAATGTCTTTCTAGATCATTAATATGCTATTTTTTTTCCTATAGGAGAAAGCACTCACTGCTTATCGTGCTGCACTGGAGAAGACTGCTGGATTGGGATCTCGGATAGATATAATATTTTGTTTCGTGCGCGTAGGATTCTTCTTTAATGATGATGATCTGATCAGTCGCAATATTGAACGTGGCCGAAGGTATTTATAAACGTTTCCATATTTTTACTACCTTCATAAAACGTGAAATTTTGGGATGTAACACAAATAACGCTCAATTTTTACCTCTTGTTTTCCCTCCCACAAAGTCTAATTGAAGAAGGCGGCGACTGGGACCGTCGCAATCGCCTCAAAGTATACGAGGGCATTTATCGCTTATCTATCCGAGACTTTAAAACTGCTGCCAATCTTTTCCTCGATACTCTTTCAACGTTCATGTCTACCGAGTTAATGGAATACAAAGAGTTTGTCAAATATTCAGTCTTAGCTGGTGCCATTGCATTGAAACGAGTAGATTTAAAGAAGAAAGTAATCGATGCGCCCGAAGTGTTGGAGGTGTTAAACGAGATCCCGCATTTAGAAGACTATATCACATCATTGTATAATTGTGAATATGCGAAATTCTTCAGGGCTCTTGGTGAGTGTTTTTTTTGGGGGGGGGGTGGTGGAAGGAATGTTGGTGTATGTATACGCGTACGCGTGTGTATTGTCGTACCACGTCGATAACTCACATTATTTCAACTTGTTGACTCTTGCAGCTGACGTTGAGAGAGTACACCTGCGTACATCCGCTTACATATTTCCACATCTTCGCTTCTACGTGAGAGAGATGCGTATTATTGCTTATGCTCAGTTACTTGAATCTTACCGATCGTTGACTATGGAGAGTATGGCTAATGCATTTGGTGTATCGGAAGAGTTCATTGACAAGTGCGTACAATTCAAATGATATAATTACATGATTATGTGTTATATTGTATTATTTGCTAATTCTTTCATCATTTTACAGGGACGTTTCAAAATTCATCGCTGCTGGTCGATTGAATTGTGTGATTGATAAAGTTGGTGGTATAGTTGAGACTAATAGACCAGACGCAAAGAACGCTCAGTATCAACAGACAATCAAGCAGGGAGATATTCTGCTCAACCGCATACAGAAACTATCCCGAGTTATAAATGTATAATATTATTTTTATTATCATCATCTAGAGTGTGGGTGTCTGCCGTGGATAAATAAATACTCCAGTAGGGGAGATCTGGGTGTAACGGAGGGACCGAGTCATATTTATCAATTCAAACAAAAAGTTCTGCCGCCAATTGTCTTTGGAATTTAGGTCTTTGACACGAAGTAATAGTAACGTAACATGATACCTAAAGTCTAAAGACGTAGATTTTTTATTGTTCGTATTTGGTTAGTACCTTCCCAATATTGTGAAACGTAACGCCTATTTGGGCAGGACAATGGGTATTGAGTGGCAGCATACAATAGACCCGAATATTTAGCATGTCGCCCTTCGTATACAGATATAGGAGTGAATAAAGGGCATATGACCCAAATAAACTGTCGCAGTTTAAGGAAGGCTCAACAATCGTATGTCATATGATCAAACAAGGTATAAATAAGGCTCAGTCTACACACTATTATTGGAGTTTTTTACCTAGCCGTCCTTGTCTTTTGTGCGAAATAAAGATTTCCAAGTACGGGACAATTTCGTTTGTTTCTGTTGATACGTCAACCGAGTACTTATTATTTATTTTTTTGTTAGTAACTGATCCCATTTAGGTAAAAGCGAGTGTGAAAAGATTACTCGTTGCAAAGTCCAAGTCCGATAATTGTCCCAAATTTCGTCAAGATGCGTGCAGTGTATTTATTACTATGTATATGTATAATACTCCTTCAGCCGGATTCTGTGCTATCTAAAGGCGGTGGCGGTGGTGGAGGCGGTGGAGGCGGTGGTGGTGGCGGCGGCGGCGGTGGTGGAGGAGGTGGAAGATGGGGAGGCGGAGGCGGAGGCGGAAATGAATCCGGAGATTGGAAGACAGCTCTTGTTCTTTGGTCATTGATCTTGTTCTGTTGTTGTTGCTGCCCGAGACGCAACAATAGCGGACGTGTTTACAGAACAATCCCAACGCAATCACACCTCGAGTCTGGTGATGCACCTCCGGTGTATGGAACTCAATCATCTGCACCAGAATCTATCCACGTGTTTGGAAAGAGACACGAAGCATCAACGAATTCATATAGAGCGGCCGAAGAGTTCTCCAGAAAACATCCACCTCAGCAATTGCTGCCATCAGATGAACACATACGGTCCATAGTCAGTCAAGGAGGAGCACCGGCGTATCAATTTGTCCCTGAACATCCAGTCACGGTGACGGTCTCGGAGAAAGGACGGGTGGTGCAGTTTACTAAGAAAGAAGATACTATGGTGCAGACAAATTACCCATTGTTTGTTCCACGAGTTCAGACAGATTCTGTTGAGAGTAGAGATGCGAGTGGTGGGACAGATAGTACGATAATACAGATGCCTGTTTCAGTGAGTATTGTTTAAACTGTCCCATCCCATAATCCTTATTTGGATCTGCTGTCGTTATACGTATGCTAATAATACGATATTGAATATTAGGAGGTAACACCCGTGTCATCAGAAAATAAGTCTTTGCAGAAATCGGTTGGTAATTCTGAAGTACGAGTATTACATTACTTTGAGATTACTGTGCTGTCGAACGCAAGCCCAAGAGATACAACAATAGCAATAGGTCTAGCCACGAAACCTTATCCATCATTCAGGTATGTAAATAAATAAATAGCCAAGCAATCCTCTTTTTTTTTTCATATAGGTATACAATTTATTAATCTGACGTTCATTGACTTTAATTTCATGCCAATAGGCTGCCTGGCTGGAACCTTAATTCGGTCGGATACCACTCTGATGACGGACACAAATTCAATGACGCCTTTGGAGGCCGTAGTTATGGTCCTGAATGGGGTCAAGTTGGTGATACTATCGGATGCAGATATTATCCCGATCTTGGATACGTGTTCTTTACGAAAAATGGAAAGAATCTTGGAACTGCATTTACTGGCATGCGGTATATTTGGTTTCCTACAATCGGTGCGGATGGGCTATGCAAATTACAAATCAACTTTGGTGATGGAAAGCTGCCATTTAGGTATCCTGAGGCGAGAGGGTTTGGACCTGCTGGACCTATTCAATGAGTAGAAACATTAAGACTTGGTTATAAATGCAATTTTGTACGAACGTATCATGATTATATGTACGATGTAAATAATGTAGGGCAACAATAAATTAAAGTTTCTTGCTGGAAAATAGTCACGCTGTAAATGAGAAAGAAACTGCGTTGTTGCAAGCCTTCGCGATGTTCTAGTATTCTCGCGTGATTCCTTGACAAATTGGATACATCGGTAGTAATTTACTACACTGATAATAAATTCCTACTAATATCAGCACTGATGCTGATGGCTCCTTCCAATCACAATTAATTGCCTATCGAATCCCAGCCCAAACCGCGTAGGGATACGCGGTTTACGCCGGTTAAAGGGAAGCACCTTTATCAGGAACTTTAGTTTCTAATTAATATTTCCCTTTTACACCTCGCGTTTCTATTCAAATGCGATTATTATGTATTACGTCATCGTTTATTGCGCTATCACACATGTAGCATGCAGTATCCCCTGTCAGAGGTTGAAACAACATTCATATGGTTAATAATAATAGTGATAGCTGATGAACACTTTAAATTTATCTTTTATTTTGATCAAAGAATATTATGCAAGAACAGAGGGAAAAAGAATGTTTGATATGTCTAGAGAACATTAAATATCAACATATGGATAAATCTCTTTTTGGCAACATACACGTAATAAAATGCTCTTGTAATGATTATAGCACTTTTGCATTAAGCAACAATTTGATGCAACTAGTACTTCATGTACACTCCCCTGACAAAAGTCATGAGACTGTTCTAAAATTTACTAGTAAAACATATGAAAAATCTTTTTTTTTTTCGAAAATCTCTCTTATTTGCAAACACTATATACGTGGCAATAATTTTTATATGGTTTTGAAAGTAATTGACGGTACTTTTGAAAAAGAAATAACAGCAAAATTTAATGATTATTATTATTAATCTCACATGTAACAGGTATCTGGGTTAGAATATGAGAGTATATTTTATATGTATAACATATAACTATCATTTCATAACACTTTATCTGGCTACAACTTTATAATAATAATGTGTTAAATTTTACTGTTGTTTTTTTCAAACAGCACAGTCAATTAGTTTCAAACATATATAAAAATTATTGCCACATATATAATGTTTGCAGAAAGAGAGATTTTTGGAAAAAAGGATTTTTTATATGTTTTACTAGTAAATTTTAGAACAGTCTCATGACTTTTGTCAGGGGAGTGTACAGTACATAAATCCATTGTCTGATGCCAGTAATAGTATATAACAAGATAATTAATCCAAAGATTCGAACAAACGGAATCTACGTGTTTCTTCCATAATTACTGCATAATTTGCGTGAATTATAATTATCGGAGAAATTTTCATAAGGCGATGAACCAATGGTTTGCCCACATTGTATTAGTAATGTTTAGTACATAGTATTAGAATTTTAAAAAGAGCATATTTGTTTGCGTTATTATATCAGTTTCCACGCGTCTATTGTAGATTTATTGACGTAATTAAACCTCTGTTTTATTATTGATTTCAATATTATGGAAAGAAGATTTAGAGAGAAAGAATATTAGAATAGAGAACAAAATGCATGCAAAAGTCGAGCCTAACTAACAACACGTCGAGGCGCTTCCCACAGATTATGCACAAAGTAAAAGGGGATGATATGTTGAGAGAATATAAAGCCCAATGGAAAGTGCTATATATGACATTACAACCATCGATTGTTTCATACTTGAGCGGACAGTACTGTAAGTTTAAGCTTAGGATGTATTTCTGATATCTCAGCTAAATTTATTGGTATTATTATTTTTATATTATTTGTGCTTTAATGCAAATATTAATCTACTATAATTATTTCCTTGTCAGATCACCAATTACTTTTCTTCAAGTATTAGCTGTCATTTAAACAAACAAATTTATTACGTACGCGACCTGTCAAGAAGATGTGAATTAATTCCCTAATTAAACTCCCTAAGTCAGACATCAACAAGCCATATTAATATTGCCGTAAAATTTGGTGTTACGTGACATAGTCTAGAATAGTCCTTCTAAAACAGACATGTCTCCTACAAAGAGTAGGTACTTTTATCAGGAAACGAGACCGAATTCAACCGGCAGTTGGTATGTATGCATAGTCAATACAAAAACGTTTCTCAGTTAAGTCCGTAATATACCGACATCAGAGTATTTGCACTAGATAATACAGGGATATTAATCCCTTTACTAAGCGGCACGTTTGGGAAACTATTAATCTATCGTATATTCAGGACTTTTGTTTCAGACTGTTTGGTACAACCATTTGAGCTTATGTTTTCATCAATATAGTGCTGCGTCGGAACAGCAGTCGATCCAAGTCCAGGCAGAAAGAGTTCTGCTTAGTTGAGATTTCTCCATGACACCAAAAATAGCAGTAGTTGATTGTACGTTTAAAAGTGTAGTCGCTCATAGCTGATACAAATCACATATTGAAAGTATGTAAACCAAAGAATAATGAATGCTTAGACAAGTCGGTTTGAATACAAGAAGCAATCTCTTAATAAAATGTTCTTTAATGCACCCATATGCGAATTGCAAGCATGCGAGCAAAATTAGTAAGATACCTGGCATAAGGCATTCTTAATACAGTAATATAGGAATTGCTATTTCTCATAATAGACAAGATTCTCTTCAACGGTTTCAATTCCCCAAAGAAATAATCATAAGTTATATTTATAATTGACCTACTGTATATATTCAATAGTCGATCTACTTTTGCGCTGCTGACAAATTTCTTTTGTTGGAACCCGTGAGTAGAATCTCCAAATGCAATATGCTCTATGTGTCGTGTTTATACATTTGTTAGTCATCTCGTTGAAAGGTGCGCTCTTTGCAATTTGAGTCTTGCTCTAATAAATGAACCAAGTAATCAAATGCAAAATATAATAAAGAAATGTATTACCTATTACGATGGAATTTTCACCATTAAAATTAAAAACAAATTTATATAAACAATAAATGTTGCTTTATAATAAACTCGGCTAAATATAAAAGCATTGCATAGGATTATAGTAATAGAGTGTTGAGTTACACTTTTATCACAAACTTGTATATGTACAACAGACCCCAAAATTGTCTGCTTCGTTTATCTATCCGAGACTTTAAATGAGATTCGCATTTAACACATCATTATATAATTGTGAATATGCGAAATTCTTGGTGAGTTTTTTTTTTTTTTTTTTTTTTTTTTTTTTTTTTTTTTTTTGAAATGCTGGTGTGTGTATACGCGCACGCGTGGGTATTGTTATACCATATCGATAACTCACATTTTTTTGTTTTTATTTCAACTTGTTAACCTTGCAGCTGATGTCGAGAGCGCATACTTACATACACTGTCAACCTCGTTAACCCGAACCTCGTTAATCCAAACCCCTAGTTATACCGAATAATATAATTACCTCGATTATCCGAAATTTTATATTAAAATTACTGTAATTCGTAATCCGAATTGTGAGGAATGGCATATTAAATACCACACCTTTTATCCGCATCAGCTGATAAGCAAACAACTTTCTGTAGCGTTTGCAATTCTATTTTATTCTTCACGAACCAATAAAAGGACAATCAAGCAGGGAGATATTCTACTCAACTGCATACAGAAACTATCTATAGTATTATTATTATCTAGAGTGTGGGTGTCTGCCAAGCAGATAAGTAGGGGATACCCTGGGTGTAACGGAGGGACTGAGTCATATTTATCAATTCTGTGTCTTTGAATTAGGTCTTTGACGCAATGTAACGTAACATGATATCGACGTATGGTTTTATAGATTTTACAACAACATTTTTTATTGTTTGTATTTGGTTAGTACTCCCAAATATTGCGAAACGTAAAGCTTATTTGGAGTTTTGCGTTCTTTATTTGTCTACATCTACGATTGAACGCTAAAGGTGTAGTAAAGCTTATTTGGGCAGGACAATGGTTATTGAGTAGCAGCATACAATAGGGCCCGAATATTGTTGTAGTCAATAATTCCGGCACTTTTTCCCGACACTCTTATATTAGTCCATTCGTGTTAGTTGTAATCGAATATGCTGTACGACCATAAAGGTGTCGGAAAAAGCGTCTCATTTCTTGACTATTTAGCATGTCGCAGGAGTGAATAAAGGGCATATGACCCAAATAAACTATCGCTATGTAAAAAGGGGCCAAGTCAATAATTGTATGTCATATGATCAAACAAGGTATATAAGGCTCAACAAGAGTTTTTTATCTAGCCGTCCTTGTCTACAAAGATTTCCAAGTACGGGACAATTTCGTTTGTTTCTGTTGATACGTCAACTGAGTACTTAACCTATTTCTTTTTTTGTTAGTAATTGATCATTTAGGTAAAGCAAGTGTGAAAAGATTACTCCAATTCTGATAATTGTACTAAATTTCTTACGTCAAGATGCGTGCAGTATATTTATTACTATGTATATGTATAATACTCCTTCAACCGGATTTTGTGCTATCTAAAGGCGGTGGTGGTGGTAGAGGCGGCGGCGGCGGTGGTGGTAGAGGCGGCGGTGGTGGTGGTGGTAGAGGTGGAGGAGGTATAATCTGGGGAGGTGGAGGCGAATATGTAGGTTGGAAAGGAGAGCTTATTTTCTGGTCGTTAGTGATCTTCGTCGTTTATGGCTTGCCGCCATTGCAAGAAAAATGTGAACTCTGGAGACGCAGACGTACTTACAGAACAATCTCAACACAATCGCTTCTCGAGTCTGGTGATGCGCCTCCGGCGTATGGAACTCAATCATCTGCACCGGAACCTATCCACGTGTTTGGAAAGAGACATGAAGCATCAACAAATTCATATAGAGCGGGCGAAAAGTTCACCAGAGAACATCCACCTCAGCAATTGTTGCCATCAGATGAACACATACGGTCTATAATCAGTCAAGGAGGTGCACCGGCGTATCAATTTGTCCCGAGCCAATTGGTGACAGTCTCGAAGAATGGACGGGTGGTGCAGTTTAGTAAGAAAGAAGACACTATGGTGCAGACAAATTACCCATTGTTTGTTCCGCGAGCTCAGACAGATTCTGTTGAGAGTAAGGATGCGAGTGGGGATGCGAGTGGGGATGCGAGTGGTGGGACGAATAGTACGATAATACAGATGCCTGTTTCAGTGAGTATCGTTTATTACTACTGCGTGTTTGTAAACTGTTGGATCTGCTGTCGTTATATATATGCTAATAATACGATATTGAATATTAGGAGGCACCCGTGTCATCAGAAAATAAGTCTTTGCAGAAATCGGTTGGTAATTCTGAAGCACGAGTATTACATTACTTTGAGATTACTGTACTGTCGAACGCAAGTTCAAGATATACAACAATAGCAATAGGTCTAGCCACGAAACCCTATCCATCATTCAGGTACGTAAATAAAATATTCAATCGCCAAGCAACTCCTCTTTTTTCATATAGGTACACAGCCCTCTTTTTCTTTTTCCTTTTTTTAATCTTACGTTCATTAACTCTAATTATCATGCCAATAGGCTGCCTGGCTGGAACCTCCATTCGGTCGGATACCACTCTGATGACGGACATAAATTCAATGACGCCTTTGGAGGCCGTAGTTATGGTCCCGAATGGGGTCAAATTGGTGATACTATCGGATGCGGATATTATCCCGATCTTGGATACGTGTTCTTTACGAAAAATGG